TCTGTATTTCACTTTGAATACAATATAATCTTCCATACACTCTATATAAATAAAATCTATATCGTAATAGGTATTTATACAATATGTAGTTTTCGATCTAAAAACGGCTTAATTTGTACTTGTACTGTACGAATTCCCTCTCTGTGAATACAGAGGGAATACAGAACTCTGTGAATACAGAGGTTGGACAAAAATATGGAATGTACGACTATTCTTTCAAAAGCTGTTTTTGGTACTGGTGTGTTTGCTCACTAACACTACCTGTCCTGTACGTTGTCTACATTGCAAATATCATTCGTTATCTAGATACTGTTCTGTGCAGTTCTGAGTGCATCATGGCGGAGCTAAAGGAATTCGAACTTGGGCTCGTATGATGGGGGCTTCAATAACTAAGGTAGATGAATTGTCTGATGTTTGAAGAGACACACTATCTAAGATTTTTGACTCATACAGGAAAAATGGAAAACCGGCATCCGCTAAACCACAGCGCGGACGAAAATGTGTCTTGAGTGATCATGACAGACTATCATTGAAGACGACTGTGATGAAAAATAAGAGGAATACAGCGGCAAAAGTAACTGATGATCCGAATATCAGCACCAAAAAATTACGAAGGCAGCTTCACAAGCAGGGTATTTTTAGGGGAGCTGCAATTCGAAAGCTCCTCATCAGTGATCAAAATGCCAGTAAGCGGAAAAAGTTGTGTCAACGTCATAAAACCTGGACTGTAGAGCAACTGTCATTTGGTCAGATGAGTCTTGCTTCACACTGTTTCCGACTTCTGTGCGAGTTTACATTTTACGAACGCCGTCCCAAGCGCATGATAGAGACTGTTTGTTGCTGAGAGAGAAACATGGCGAGGGTTCAGTCATAGTTTGGGCAGCCACTATGTCTGAACCATCATTACTATGCAAGGTCACATTACTGCCAAGAATTATATGACCATTTTGGCTGATCACGTCCATCCAATAGTATAAATATCGTTTCCCAAATGTGATATCGTATTCCAAAAGGACAGACCTCCTGTTCACTTAGCTCACATCGTCCAGTGCTTGTTTTCTGAGCATGAGGGTGAACTTTCACATTTACCATGGCGTCCACAGTCGCCAGATATCAGTATTATTGAGCCTTAGTGAGTGGATTGGTTTGAGGAAAATTCTGCTCGAGCGCTGTACACCGTCATCATCGTTAACTGAACTTCCCAACGTTTTACAGGAAGAATGGTATAAGATTTCCTTTCAAATCACATAAGACTTCTATTTATCCATTCCGAGAAGCTTGTAAGCTGTTTTGAATGAAAACGGTATTCCTACATCGTATTAGTCACAGCACTATGTTTTTATTTCGGTGTTGCCATATTTTTTCCCACTTGCTGTAAATATGAATGTAGTTATACTCAAGTACACGCAGCTATAAATATCTGTTTATTAAGTAACGGATATAGCAAACCTATATCTCCATCAAAAAAAATTTTAAAATACAATTCAAAAAGTGCTGAGCGTTTCCTGTCTTTACACCACCAAATGAAATTTTTACAATGAAGAATAAATAAATCTTCTACACAACTTTATGTTAAAATTAATATCATTCCAATTAAGCAGATATAACACATACACTGAAGAGCGAAAACATTATGACCACCTACTCAATAATGCGTCGCGCTACCTTTGGCCTGCAAAACAGCTGCAACTCGCCATGGCTTGGATGCCACAAGCTCTTGGTAGTTGACAGTTGAGAGCAGAATCTGGACACCCGTGCCGCTTACTTAGACTATTCGGGTCTAGTCCAGGTTCCGCAACTATCCGGGGCAACACCTCATGGGCCCTATAAGGGCATACATTGATCCTGTATACATGCTTACATAGTTCATAATATATGCTTATAGTTACATAGTTCATAATATATGCTTATAGTTACATAGTTCATAATATATGCTAGATGAATGGAGACAGGTTGCACCAAATTCCTAAGCAGCGGTCACGCAATTGCGGATATTCCGACATGGTGGTGTTTGAGATCTGACCTGCCGCTCCATCACATCTCTAATGTGCTCTATCAAGTTACGATCCGGCGAATTAGGTGGCCAGGACATTAATTGGAATTCATCCTTATGCTCCTCGAACCATTCTAAAACAATTCAAGCCTTGTGACGTAGGACGTTGTCCTGCTGGAAGATTCCATTTCCAGTTGGCAAGACAGGCGCAATGTAAGGGTGCAACTGATCTCTTATGTTCAGACTACAGCTTTCATGGTCTGTTCTACCACAACCAAGGGTCCCAGATCGCCCGTGAGAACGTCCTTCAAAGCACAATGCAGGGGAAAAACTGTTTGCCTTCAAGACGGCGTATCATGACACAACCATTGACGTGATGAATGAGAAATCATTATTCATCCGACCAGGCAACTGTCTTCCACTTATCCATGGTTCAGTCTCGATGTTCTCGGGCCCACTGTAGGCGTAGTCAACTACGCCAATGACGCTTGGTCAACAAAGGCACAGGAGTGTGACGTCTGCTGTCCACTCCCATATTGAACAGTATCTTCTGAACTGTTTGTTCCGAAACACTTGCTCTTATATACTGAAGCACTTGGATTACTGAAGCACTTGGACTTGGATTGCGCTGGGCTGTCAGCTGAGCCAATGTCTGGAGCTGATTTTGCTCTACCAAGGGGACACTCTCCGATGTCCTTTTTCTTTGATGGCGCGTGAACGTCTAACATCTTGGCGTTTATTGCTAGGTTCACCGGCATTTATCTAGTTTGCATAAATGGCAGATCGTGAACAACCTACCAATCATGCAGCTTCGGAGATGTTCGTTATGAGCCTTCGGGCCATTAAAATCTGCTCTTTATGAAATTTGCTTAGATTAGCAGCCTTTCCCATTACTCGCAAAAGTAAATTCAATAGTGAATCCTTGCGTTCTCCAAACAGCAGTTAAATTCCATTCCCACTTAATCCCCTGCCCTCCACGTCATCCAGGCAAGTTCACCGAAAAATGGTCATGTTTTGGCTCGTTAGTGTATAGTCATATTTGTTTACAAACAGTTTTATCTACTGCAATAGTATCTATAGAAACAAATCAATTTAACGTAAAAAAATGTAACTGCTATTCCTGCAGCATAATTAATTTACAATTAATATTAGAAAATGATTTTTATATAGAACTTTTACTGTATTCGAAATTAGTCCTAAAACATAGCCCTTACAAAACTCATGAATTACCGCAAAATTCATACGCGTGTAAAACTTTCTTAAAAGAATTAACCACAATTCTAGATAATGCCAAATTCATGTCATCTCACAGAACTATCAGTGATTACTATTATTAAATTATCTTCTTGACAAACGTGTCATTGTCAGAGGTGATCATCTTAAGGAAATAACCACTATATGACATTTCACTTCACAGTTAATTTTTTTCAATAATTTATTCTTATTTCTAACTTATACTCCTAGGATTAACACATTTTATTTTACATAAACTTTACTAATTATTCACAACCCTATATCAAAAGAAATTTATGAAGAAACAATTCGAAATTTTATTCATCAAACTTTGATAGTAAAGAATATTAAAATCTGCATAAAAATGCTCAATTACCTATGCTTTAACAAAATAGCACAAAATATTTAATGTGATACTGTGACTCTAGTATCATACTTGTGCAGAAAATGGATTTCTGTACAAATATGACAGTGGAATCACCAGAAAGGAAAAGCAATATAAACAGTGTAAGTTACTATATGATCATCTAAAAACATTTTCACGCAATACTTTAGTAATATAAAAAGATTCCTTGACTGCTTTTGAAAAATTCTTGCCTGCCTCATTCAATAAATAATGCATATGTTAATTATATAAATATTTACTTCATTCACAAACTTACCTTGTTGTTTAACGAAATATAATTATCACATTTTTAAGAAAATGTTAAAAATGTCCTTTCTGCCTAACTACATCAGATTAGTGATACTAGCCGAAAAATTCAAAACTAAATCATGCAAGAACTTTTCTAATTTTAAGTAAGGTATGCTGAAATTTATTAGTATATAATATATAAATGTCAAAACATCTACATCAACAAAGCTTAAAAAATGATTCTTAAATTAGAATCAGAAAACAGGTTTTCAAAAATATAATTTGAATAAAATAGAAATAATATGTTTGTGCGTCTGCTGCAAACACATTGATTCAAATTATGTCTGAAATTATCGCTTTAAGCACATTGCTTCTTATGATAAAATTAAAGTTAAAAAGCAAGTTCATGCATTAGTTTGTTCTTACTGGAGAAACTCTGTTTCAGAACTATTCAATTTTCAGCAAAAAATAATAGTTAAATAAAATTACTGTGTAATGGAATAATACAGAAATGCCAATGTTCATTAGACTCAGATACACGTGCAAGGCTCTATTGGCAGATTATTTGTAATCACATGCAATGCTGGTATTTGAGTTTTCATTAAAAATATCTAGCATAGTAAAACATATTTTTTGCAAGTATTATTTATTGCATTACTGTTGCGTATCATCCATCAAGACCATAACACAAACGCAAACGTCCCATAACAATATTACCAAAAACGTCGCCGTGTTGTTTATTGCTCACTCCCACTATTCCTGAAAAAAGGGTAAAGAGTCATTAAGGTTTTTTTAGGCTGCAGATGTGAAAATGTGCAGTGCCCCGCCGAGATCTGAATTCTGGATCCCTCAGATGCGCGTGGAGTTTGCTTCCAATTATACACCATGAAGGCATGTGGAAAGGAGGGAGAAAATAACTTATAAGGGGGAGGGCAATTCTTTTGCTCACATCAGGGCTAACAAGGGTAAAAATGACTTTACTCTCAGAAAGTTTTTCAGCTCGGTAATAAAACTGAAAATGTCACGTTTAAGAGACTGAATCCAATCTCTGTCTTAAAGTAAGAAAATACCGCGGAAAGTTTTTACGGCAGTGCACATTTTTTAATCCGTTTGTGTATCTATTTTTGTGAAATGGACTTTGAGCCTTGGCTGAAAGACCACGAAAAGTACCAGTATTTCGTAGAACTTAAGCAAATATAAAAGTTGAACAACATTAACTCACTAATACCATCATTTCCACAACGGACAAAAGCGTCTGGAATCATGGGTGGTCATCTTAAAGGGAATCACATCTGTCTCGCACAGTTTTTATTTAGAACACAGAGCAATGCGAGGGTTAAGACGAAGGTTTGTGAGAATCACTCGCCAAATTTTCAGAAGCTTTTCTGCCGTAAGTTCTTGAAGAAGAACAACATGTACTTGCTATTCATTTAGTACTAAGCAATTTTCCTCTCAGGGCGACGTTTTTCTTTTCCACTAATAAAGATATTTCTAAAAAAGTACCGTGGACTAAAGTGCTAGAGCAAGTTGTTATCGAATATAACAACTCCCCTCATACGGTAACTAAGTTCACCCCAGCATACTTACTATTTGGTAACCTCCCTTTTGAATCTCCAATTGATCAAAATAAATACCCTTCCTTAAATGAAGCAAGGGCTTTAGCAAAGAAAAGAACTATCGAATACCACCGAAAGAATAAAACTAGATATGACATCAGATTTGTAGAATCTAAATTTCAACCTGGAGATTTTGTCCTTTACGAGGAATTTGAATACCCAAATACTAGAAAATTGACTTCACCCTATTCAGGCCCTTATCAGATTATG